TCCGCTCCAATGTAGAAGCATCAAGAAATATGGGCCAAAAGGCCCCTTCAGTTACTTCCATTCTTACCTTCAATACCCATTGTTTCCTGTTCTATCCTGTGTTGAAAGTTTTGTTCACCTCATCCAAAACTGTTGTAACATATCACCTCACCCAAAATGCGGGTATAAAATGAAAAATGAAAGCTGTTTAAATCATTGCATAGTATGAACTCTGTTTAGTGTTTGCAGGTTATAGTTGTGTGTGTGTAAACTAAAAGTCTTTGAAAATTTAATAAGTTATTACGAAACGCGTTCAAGTGATGCGTCAGACTAGAAAGAAAAATGAATTTGGGAGAATTGATTTTTCAATTACCATCAACAGTGAAAAGAAACATAAGAAACATAGAGAAAATTCGTGATAGAATTTTTAATCTTACTTTTTCGGTCATATGTAATAATATATGTCTACAGGAAAGACTGCTACCAAAATATACTAATATTAAAACGCACGACCCAGCAGCAAGGAATCAAGCCTTCACGATAAAATTTCGCCGAGATCTGATTCGTAATCAGATATACAAGGGAGAAAATTAAATCAAAGACAACAAAACGCTACTACTTCATGCTACAAAACAATGGAGAAACAGCAACATCGACGAAAGTCTCCGTACTCGCATCGAGCAACACCTCGACATCCTCACAGATCGACATCACCTCAGCACTGAAACAAGGATAATCAAGAAACTAACAACGTTATATGGAGGACCTATGGCAATTCCACGACCAAGAGACGGCTTCCTGAACCTTGCAGGAATCAACCTCACTGAGGACCAAGTCACTCTCCTAAATCTGGGTATAAACTGTTACGTTATGTCCAGACCAAGTGAGATGGCCCGGAAAGTGGAGTTGGAGATTCTGTTGGACGACATATTCGACCTCGAGACACAAAAGAAGGTCACCACCAAAGATACCTTACAAGCAGAACTTTTTGCGGAAGGAGGAAAGAATCGAAGCAACTACAGGAGCACCATACTGTCCCCCGAGCTCAAAGCGGCAGCTAAGAGCCTTCCTGAGAACAAGGAGATAGTTGTCAGGAGAGGTGACAAGTCGCCAATATACGTCATTCTTAAAAAAGACGAATATCTGGCGAAAATGAACCTCATACTCCCTGACCAAACTAAATTCCAAAGGGTAACGAAGGACACTGGAGCCGAATTGAAAGCAAAGGTCAACAAATTGATCGAAACTGTAAACGCCAAGAAATCCGGACTCCCCCTGCCAAAGATTATTGAGTAATATAAACCTGGATACACGTATGGAAATGTCAAGACACATAAGCCTGGAAACCCACTTCGGCCAATCATCAGCCCGATACCCACACCCACGTACAGACTGGTGAAGCAACTCAATGGCTTGCTGAATCCTTATGTCCCTTGCGCCTTCAGCCTGAAGTCTCCAAAGGAATTTATTGACTTATTGCGGGGAGCACGGGCCAAAGGAATAAGAGCCTCGTTGGATGTAGAATCACTGTTTACCAACGTACCTGTGGATGAAACAATCGGGATGATAGCGGACAGAGTGTATCATGATCCAGCCCGTACTCCTCTTGACATACCAGAAAACATTCTAAGGAAACTACTCCAAGCTTGTACTAAAGAGGCACCCTTCTTGAGCCCGGATGGGCACATGTATAAGCAAGTAGATGGGGTCCAGGATATCTTGAGATGATTTCGGGGCTTTTTAGTGTCCCCGCGGCCCGGTCATCGACCAGGCCTCCACCCCCAGGAAGCAGCCCGTGACAGCTGACTAACACCCTGGTACCCATTTTACTGCTAGATAACAGGGGCATAGGGTGAAAGAAACTCTGCCCATTGTTTCTCGCCGGCGCCTGGGATCGAACCCAGGACCACAGGATCACAAGTCCAGTGTGTTGTCCGCTCGGCCGACCGGCTCCCTACGGGTCGCTATGGGTTCTCCCCTAGGTGTCCTGTTTGCGAACTTCTACATGGGTACCATCGAGCAAAGGGCCTTAGTTGACATAAACTTGAAACCGGCCATATACTGCAGGTATGGTGACGACATTTTTACACAGGTACCTGATGTCAGACATCTGCAGGAGCTGAAGGAGGCATTTGAGCAGAATTCTGTGTTGCGTTTCACTTACGAGATGGAGAAGGATGGGAAGCTGCCCTTTCTAGATGTAACAGTCATGGAAAGGAGCGGAGTTTTCCACACTGCAGTCTACACTAAGGAAACAAACATAGGAATGTGCCTGAATGCCAATAGTGACTGCCCGGACAGGTACAAGAGGAGTGTTGTTAACGCTTATGTCGACCGTGCCCTCAGCCACAGCTCAGAATGGAAGCAAGTCGACGAAGAACTCTGTAGGGTAAGGCAGGTCCTAGTCAACAACGGCTTCTCCAATGGTTTCGTTGAAGACATCATAAGAAGGAAGGTGAAACGCCATGCAACCTTTGAAGAGACAACTAACACAACACCGATACCCCGTATTAGACTATTTTAAGGGTACTTCTTTTCCACAGCTCATAAAACGGAAGAAAGGGTCCTGAAAGATATTGTTAATAAAAACGTTATACCTACAGACAAAAATCAGAAGATACAACTGACGATTTACTATAAAACCAAAAAAACGGCCAGCCTACTCATGAGAAACTCTCCAGATACAAAGCAGAACGCTTTAAAAGAGACCAACGTCGTCTATGCCTACAAATGCCCACTTGGGGACTGTAAGCCTCAAAAAACTCAGTATATAGGCAAGACAACATCATCTCTTTCCAGGCGATTAACGATGCATAATCAACAGGGCTACATTAAGGAAGATATAATCTCTTCCCACAACCAGACCATCACCAGAGAAATCTTAGCAAACAACACAGAAATCATCGATAGATGCAGCGATAGCAGGCGTCTTTACATCTGCGAGGTACTGCACATCAAGAAGTCACCACCAGCAATCAACAGCCAATTAATGCACCACTATATTCTACCCACTTTAAGACTCAGCTCCAATATAGAAGCATCAAGAAATTTGGGCCAATAGGCCCTCTGCAGTTACTTCCATTCTTCCCTTTAACTTACAAAATATTATACCCATTATTTCGTGTTCTGTCTTGTGTTGAAAGTTTGTTTTCACCTCATCCAAAACAGTTGTAACATATGACCTCACCCAAATGCAGGTATAAAATAAAGCTGTTTAAACTCTGTTTAGTGTTTGCAGGATATAATTGTGTGTGTGTAAACTAAAGTCTTTGAAAATGTAATAAGTTATTACGAAATGCGTTCAAGTGTCGCGTCAGACTAGAAATAAAAATGAATTTTTGAGAATTGATTTTTCAATTACCATCAACAGTGAAAAGAACCATAAGAAATATTGAGAAAATTCGTGTCAGAATTATTAATCTTACTTTTTCGGCTTTATTTAATATATATATATATATATATATATATATATATATATATATATATATATATATATATATATATATATATATATGTGTCGTACCTAGTAGCCAGAACGCACTTCTCAGCCTACTATGCAAGGCATGATTTGCCTAATAAGCCAAGTTTTCCTGAATTAATATATTTTCTCTAATTTTTTTCTAATAAAATGATAAAGCTACCCATTTCATTATGTATGAGGTCAATTTTTTTTATTGGAGTTAAAATTAACGTAGATATATGACCGAACCTAACCAACCGTACCTAACCTAACCTAACCTATCTTTATAGGTTAGGTTAGGTTAGGTAGCCGAAAATGTTAGGTTAGGTTAGGTTAGGTAGGTTAGTTCGTCGAAAAAACATTAATTCATTAAAACTTGGCTTATTAGGCAAATCGGGCCTTGCATAGTAGGCTGAGAAGTGCGTTCTGGCTACTAGGTACGACATATATATATATATATATATATATATATATATATATATATATATATATATATATATATATATATATATATATATATATATATATATATATATATAAATAAATATATATATATATATATATATATATATATATATATATATATATATATATATATATATATATATATATATATATATATATATATAAGAAAGAAATGTTTACATAAATGAAAACTAACTCTAAAATGTTCTTTTTACTGCCGTATATGCACTGATGGTTAAAGATGTCTTACGTTGCGCATGTCAATATCTTTGGAGGATACAAGTTAGATGGTGCAGCTGAATATAACCAAGAAGGATGTGGCTAAGTATAGATATTACATGATTACCTGTTCTAATTATTTATTAACCTAATAAATACATGATTAACTGGGATAGTTAACAAAACCTAGATACCTTTTACTCATTGATGATACAATTGGATTTCCCTTCTGGCTCACCATGGCAAGCATCAGAGGCTCATACTCCTCCTTAGACTCGTAGAAATAACATTGATCTATGAATGAATAAAAAGAGTTTTCATAGAATTTATTAACATACGGAAATAATAAAGTATCGTTATCTACATCATTTTTGCATTTCTTTAGAATTTCTGATTAAAGTAGGAGGCCAGACGCTTGTAGCGAGCCTCGCCAAAACTGAGAAAGGTATTTGTTTGGAGTACGGGAGGAACATAGGATTCCCGGGGTCGCTATAATCAGCCATTAGAAGAGCGTGCCTAGGACACATTCAGACCCCCACCACAACTTTTGCAACACCTCGCTGGCTTAAGACGGTGACAAAGGCAGACAGACAGATATACAGTGGCTAGATGGATATCTGGAATGATAGATGGATATATATATATATATATATATATATATATATATATATATATATATATGAATAAATTAATAAATGGTTGGATAGAAGGATAAGTAGATGAATAGATAGATGGATAGATAGATTGATGGATGGGTAGGTGAAGTAGTAACAGATGAATAGTTCGACGGACAGATGAATTGTTGGATGGATAAACATATATATATATATATATATATATATATATATATATATATATATATATATATATATATATATATATATATATATATATATATATATATATATTAGTATATTTTGGTAGCAGTCTTTCCTGTAGACATATATTATTAAATATGACCGAAAAAGTAAGATTAATAATTCTAACACGAATTTTCTCAATCTTTCGTACATTACGCTTCACTGTTGGAGGTAAATCAAAAATCACTTCTCCAAAATTCATTTTTATTTCTAGTCTGACGCGACACGGGCGCGTTTCGTAAAACTTATTACATTTTCAAAGACTTCACAAATACACAACTGATTAGAACGTATCTCTGATTTTATATCTACATTTGAGTGAGGTGGGAAGGGTGATGTGGCATTAACACAAGACAGAACAGGAGGGGATATTAATAGGGTATTAAAAGTATCAACACAAGACAGAACAGAAACAATGGGTATTGAATAGAAGTGTTTGTAGAAAGCCTATTGGTCCATATTTCTTGATGCTTCTATATTGGAGCGGAGTCTTGAGGTGGGTAGAATATAGTTGTGCAATAATTGGCTGTTGATTGCTGGTGTTGACTTCTTGATGTGTAGTGCCTCGCAAACGTCAAGCCGCCTGCTATCGCTGTATCTATCGATGATTTCTGTGTTGTTTACTAGGATTTCTCTGGCGATGGTTTGGTTATGGGAAGAGATTATATGTTCCTTAATGGAGCCCTGTTGCTTATGCATCGTTAAACGCCTAGAAAGAGATGTTGTTGTCTTGCCTATATACTGGGTTTTTTGGAGCTTACAGTCCCCAAGTGGGCATTTGAAGGCATAGACGACATTAGTCTCTTTTAAAGCGTTCTGTTTTGTGTCTGGAGAGTTTCTCATGAGTAGGCTGGCCGTTTTTCTGGTTTTATAGTAAATCGTCAGTTGTATCCTCTGATTTTTGTCTGTAGGGATAACGTTTCTATTAACAATATCTTTCAGGACCCTTTCCTCCGTTTTATGAGCTGTGGAAAAGAAGTTCCTGTAAAATAGTCTAATAGGGGGTATAGGTGTTGTGTTAGTTGTCTCTTCAGAGGTTGCATGGCTTTTCACTTTCCTTCTTATGATGTCTTCGATGAAACCATTGGAGAAGCCGTTATTGACTAGGACCTGCCTTACCCTACAGAGTTCTTCGTCGACTTGCTTCCATTCTGAGCTGTGGCTGAGAGCACGGTCGACGTATGCGTTAACAACACTCCTCTTGTACCTGTCAGGGCAGTCGCTGTTGGCATTTAGGCACATTCCTATGTTTGTTTCCTTAGTGTAGACTGCAGTGTGGAAACCTCCGCCCTTTTCCATGACTGTTACATCTAGAAAAGGCAGCTTCCCATCCTTTTCCGTCACGTAAGTGAAACGCAGCACGGAACTCTGCTCAAATGCCTCCTTCAGCTTCTGCAGATGTCTGACATCAGGTACCTGTGTAAAAATGTCGTCAACATACCTGCAGTATATGGCCGGTTTCAAGTTCATGTCGACTAAGACTTTTTGCTCGATGGTACCCATGTAGAAGTTTGCAAACAGGACACCTAGGGGAGAACCCATGGCGACCCCATCTACTTGCTTATACATGTGCCCATCCGGGCTCAAGAAGGGTGCCTCTTTAGTACAAGCTTGGAGTAGTTTCCTCAGAATACTTTCTGGCATGTCACTCTGTCGGAATGATAGCCGACAGAGTGTATCGTGATCCAGCCTACTCCTCTTGACATGCCAGAAAGTATTCTGAGGAAACTACTCCAAGCTTGTACTAAAGAGGCACCCTTCTTGAGCCCGGATGGGCACATGTATAAGCAAGTAGATGGGGTCGCCATGGGTTCTCCCCTAGGTGTCCTGTTTGCAAACTTCTACATGGGTACCATCGAGCAAAAAGTCTTAGTCGACATGAACTTGAAACCGGCCATATACTGCAGGTATGTTGACGACATTTTTACACAGGTACCTGATGTCAGACATCTGCAGAAGCTGAAGGAGGCATTTGAGCAGAGTTCCGTGCTGCGTTTCACTTACGAGACGGAAAAGGATGGGAAGCTGCCTTTTCTAGATGTAACAGTCATGGAAAAGGGCGGAGGTTTCCACACTGCAGTCTACACTAAGGAAACAAACATAGGAATGTGCCTAAATGCCAACAGCGACTGCCCTGACAGGTACAAGAGGAGTGTTGTTAACGCATACGTCGACCGTGCTCTCAGCCACAGCTCAGAATGGAAGCAAGTCGACGAAGAACTCTGTAGGGTAAGGCAGGTCCTAGTCAATAACGGCTTCTCCAATGGTTTCATCGAAGACATCATAAGAAGGAAAGTGAAAAGCCATGCAACCTCTGAAGAGACAACTAACACAACACCTATACCCCCTATTAGACTATTTTACAGGAACTTCTTTTCCACAGCTCATAAAACGGAGGAAAGGGTCCTGAAAGATATTGTTAATAGAAACGTTATCCCTACAGACAAAAATCAGAGGATACAACTGACGATTTACTATAAAACCAGAAAAACGGCCAGCCTACTCATGAGAAACTCTCCAGACACAAAACAGAACGCTTTAAAAGAGACTAATGTCGTCTATGCCTTCAAATGCCCACTTGGGGACTGTAAGCTCCAAAAAACCCAGTATATAGGCAAGACAACAACATCTCTTTCTAGGCGTTTAACGATGCATAAGCAACAGGGCTCCATTAAGGAACATATAATCTCTTCCCATAACCAAACCATCGCCAGAGAAATCCTAGTAAACAACACAGAAATCATCGATAGATACAGCGATAGCAGGCGGCTTGACGTTTGCGAGGCACTACACATCAAGAAGTCAACACCAGCAATCAACAGCCAATTATTGCACAACTATATTCTACCCACCTCAAGACTCCGCTCCAATATAGAAGCATCAAGAAATATGGACCAATAGGCTTTCTACAAACACTTCTATTCAATACCCATTGTTTCTGTTCTGTCTTGTGTTGATACTTTTAATACCCTATTAATATCCCCTCCTGTTCTGTCTTGTGTTAATGCCACATCACCCTTCCCACCTCACTCAAATGTAGATATAAAATCAGAGATACGTTCTAATCAGTTGTGTATTTGTGAAGTCTTTGAAAATGTAATAAGTTTTACGAAACGCGCCCGTGTCGCGTCAGACTAGAAATAAAAATGAATTTTGGAGAAGTGATTTTTGATTTACCTCCAACAGTGAAGCGTAATGTACGAAAGATTGAGAAAATTCGTGTTAGAATTATTAATCTTACTTTTTCGGTCATATTTAATAATATATATATATATATATATATATATATATATATATATATATATATATATATATTCAGATAGGTTAGGTTAGGTTAGGTAGGGTTGGTTAGGTTCGGTCATATATCTACGTTAGTTTTAACTCAAATATAAACAAAATTATTTCATACCTAATGAAATGGATAGCTTTATCATTTCATAAGAAAAAAAAATTGAAAAATATATAAACTAAGGATAACTTGGCTTAGTAGGCAAATCGAGCCTTGAATAGTATATAAAAAACATTAATTCGAAAAAACATTAATTCATGAAAACTTGGCTTATTAGGCAAATCGGGCCTTGCATAGTAAGCTGAGAAGTGCGTTCTGGCTACTAGGTACGACATATATATATATATATATTATCGCACCTAGCAGCCAGAAGGCACTTCTCAGCCTAGTATGCATGGCCCGATTTGCCTAATAAGCCAAGTTTTCATGAATTAATATTTTTTCGACTGCCTAACCTACCTAACCTAACCTAACCTAACTTTTTCGGCTACCTAACCTAACCTAACCTATAGAGATAGGTTAGGTTAGGTAGGGTTGGTTAGGTTCGGTCATATATCTACGTTAATTTTAACTCCAATAAAAAAAATTGACCTCATACATAATGAAATGGGTAGCTTTATCATTTCATAAGAAAAAAATTAGAGAAAATATATTAATTCAGGAAAACTTGGCTTATTAGGCAAATCGGGCCTTGCATAGTAGGCTGAGAAGTGCGTTCTGGCTACTAGGTACGACATATATATATATATATATATATATATATATATATATATATATACATATATACATATATACACACACACACACACACACCTACACGCACTTCTCAGCCTACTACACAAGGCCACATTTGCCTAATATAGCCAAGTTTTCATGAATATATCGTTTTAGTAGCGAACGCACCTCATCCTACCTAAGGCCTAATTTGCCTAACCAAGTTTTCATGAAATTTTTTTCGACTACCTAACCCTAACCTAACCTAACCTATAAAGATAGGTTAGGTTAGGTTAGGTAGGGTTGGTTAGGTTCGGTCATATATCTACGTTAATTTTAACTCCAATAAAAAAAAATTGACCTCATACATAATGAAATGGGTAGCTTTATCATTTCATAAGAAAAAAAATTAGAGAAAATATATTAATTCA